ATGACTAGCATTAAAAACTTGAAGAAAAGAGAAAAGAATAGGAAATATCAGAATGCACTGCACATAAAAAACTATTTTTACTGTAGACACACACACATTATACTGGATTACAATTTTTTAAATGTATTTTTAGAAATCCTGTTCTACTCTATCTTCAAAAGGTAGAAGAACTTCAAGGTGTTTCTTTCATGGCAGCTCCTAGCCTACCTCTCTATATGTCTTACAATTCAGTATTTTTTTTTTGTATTTTTATGCTATCGTGGACTCTCCAGAGTGTCATCCAAGCACAGCCTTGCTAGAGCCACCACGTGGTATCTCAGTCAGTGAGTGAGAGCCGGGTAGAAAGTGTACCGCCACACAGCCACAGTAGTATGGCCCCAGGACAGTCTGTAAGTCACTCCTGCGCTCTGGCCAGATCCCCCCACCCTGCAGGCCCACTGCCGCATCCTGCACCACCGTTTTGATGGGCTGAGTCGGGTTGGGGAGAGGCCGGACCCAGTGCCCACTGTCACCCAGCGCTGGCCCTGCCGCTGCACAGCCACTCCTTTTAGCCCTGTCCTCCCCCAGAAACATTTCAGGCATAGCTCCAGCTCTTGAAATTTGGCCACTTTGAAGTAGTGAGCCCCAGTGCCCCTGAAACTGTCACTGTCCACTTCTCCTGCTGCCAGAGCTTTGTATAGGGTTCATGTCTCTTTCCTCTGAACTCTGTTCATGTAAATTCAGTTTCACGTTTTTTTTAAACAATCAGTCTCAGAAGTATCTTTTGGGTAGAGAGGAGGGTAGCACTGGTGGAGGGAGCTATATGCCCTTGAGAATTCGATTCTTTCTTGGAAATCTGCTGACACAAGCTAATCGGCGAAGAACTAAATGACCCTACTGTTTCTACCTGCTGACAGGCTCAGCCTTGAGGCGGGGCTGAAATTAGCTCTCACCACATGGCAGAGACATGCCTTCCTCTTTTTCTCTTTCACACAAGTAAGGGGAAATTTCATTCCTGTCAAATAATAGAGCTTTGTAGTACAGGTTGAGAGCCAGTAAGCCTCAGCCCCTCCTCCCCAACTTGCAAAGCCACATGGGTGCTGAGTAAATACTAGAGAGTCAGGTAACCTCCCTGATGAGGACTGGTTTGGAAACCCTTTCCTAATCCGTGTTCTTTGGGAAGTGCTCACACAAGGCCCATCCCAGCTCAGGGAAATATATTGCTCCAAAGCTGTGGGACCAGTGTCCCATCAGCCCAGCCCATGGAACCTCAAGTTTCTTTGTATTTCTGCTGCTGTATCCTTGCTGTGGGTGAGGAGCTTTCAGAACTTGCTGGTCTTGGGGAAACGAGGCTGTGTGTTTCGGTTCTGTTGTCCAGCACTGTTATCTGTTGGAGGACTCCCTGCCCATTTTGTAAGCACACAGCTGGCAGGCCCTGTTGCAGTCTTGCTGCCTTCCGATCAGCCCCGCCCCAGCAGCAGGCAGGGTGGGGGGGGGGCCTGGGAAACACGCGGCCAAACAGTTGTGGTGAGTGTCAAAATAAAAGCCCCCGCCTGGGCACACCAGGGCCCTCCCCCCAGAGAACCAGCATTGTTCACTGTGCCACATCTCTAGTCTAAATTTAGGCATCTTCTCTTTTTTTCCAGGCAAAGATTACTATGCAAACATTTAAGAGAAAAACTTTGCCCAAAGTCATTTTTTCCCTCGACTTCTATTTGGTTTCCTGCGATGTTTAGATGACTCATTCTCTTCCAAGAAATTTTAAAGAAAAGAGATGTAGGCTGTGTGATAGCACACAAAGCCTGCTCTGTAGATTCTCTCTCTCTTCCCTGCCTCGGAGCCCCTTGCTGTTTTTTATAGGAAACGGAAAGCCTCCACAGTCTACATTGTCACGGCCTCACCAGGCCCTGTTGTTCCCAGGAATAAATGCCCCACTTGTCTTTGGGTGGGGCCACCTTGGAGCTTCCCCATTCTGACAACCTCTCCGCGGCGGCGGACGCCAGCACGGAAGCCCTTTGCGGGTCGCCTGGGCCACACTGGCCCCCAGAGGCACACAGCTAAGGTTTCGGAAATGGAGAATGGTGGCCTTTTATCATCGGTGAAAGGAGAGGTACAGGCTATTTCCTGCCTCTCCCCTCGAGTCAGAATGGCTCCCATTGGCGGGGGGCTTTCTCAGAACTGTAACCCGGCTAACAACACATGTGTTCCCCACCCAGCCTGCAGCCAGAAGGAGAGTAAGTCAGGATCACTTCAGCAGCCTGTTCAAATAAACAGGGATAATAGTTGAGTCGGTCCTTTTCCAACTAATCAGTACACGAAAGGAAACATCTGCCTGGGCTTAATTGCTGTTCTATTGGTCATGCTTTTTCTGCCCTCCCCGTCCCATCTCCTGTGGAGGCCTAGGTTATTTAAGTCATGGGTCGGCAGCAGGGTGGAGGAATGGGAGCCTTCTTCTGGAACCTCTGCCATCGAAACACCAGGAGGTGTAGGGGAGGCCGGGAGGCGGCCAGTGGGGGTTGGCCCGGAGGCCGGAGGGCAGGGCCTTTGGAAGTGATACTCGTGGTCACTTCCTGGCCTTGTTGCTGACTCTGGGACTGGTGGGTGAGTCATTTCGCCTCACTTCACCTCCTTGGACCCCTGCTACTTCCATGGAGCTCAGCTCTGCTCGTGATGGGAATCTAGATGAAAGGCGTTTCCTCTTGTGGGTTCTTCTAGCGGTTGAGGGCATTGAGCGAGAGTCATTTGGGGATAGTAAATTTAAGGTTGGCAAGATACTCCTGAAGCCATCCATTTTGTAGAGCATCTTGGTCCCTGAGGAGAACCTGCTCATTATCTTCTCTATGGAGGGAGGCCAACCCACTGTCCACTGAAGTGGCCGGTGTTGGAATCTAATGTGAACTCAAGAAGCCAGGCAAGAGATGGTGAAGAATTATAGAATGGCAGAAGTTGGAAAAGAACTTAGGAATGTTTTAGACAAAGACTTTCATTCTTTGGAAAGAAAAACAGAAGTCCAGAGAGATGACCAGGTTGTCCAAAGTTATCTTCTTAATGGTGGAGGAGCTAGAAATAGAAGAGTCTCATGATTGCTAATTCAGGGCTCCCTCCATCCCTCTCCACACTACCAAGTGTAAAAATTCATGTCTGCTCACAACAAAGGTCACACATGTGTTATATTCCATAATTAATTCCATAATAGAAAAGTGGCAAAGTCGAAAAGAAAAGTGACAATGACTGCTGAACATGTAAGACAAAAGTTTAGGCTCACTAGAATCAAAGGACTGCAAATTAAAAGAGGATACCATATCGAGGTTTCAAGACAAAAAAAAGTAAAAGAACATTCTCATATGCTTCTGGTGGTATTTTTAATGGGTACAGTTTTTCCCAAGGGCAATTTAATGGTGTGAGTTAGCAGCAGTCTTTGACTCAGCAAGGTTACTTCTAGGAGAAAATAATCAACATGTGTGTGTAAATTATATACAAAGTAATTAAATGCAGCATATTTTATTATAAAAATTTGTATGCAAAGTTAATGTGCTAGAGTATAGGAACTACATCAATATAAACTTATTATAATGCTATGGAAGAATAACATGTAGGGGAATATTCACAGCTTATGTCTAAGTGGATAAGTTACAGTGTGTATAATGCAATCCAAATTCCATAAACATTGTAGAGAGAAAAATGTATAACAAACCTGAAGTGGTGATTTCTTAGGAGTAGGAATTAAGTGTTGCATTTTCTTTTTTGAGATTTTCTACAGTTTTCTTATTTATTGCAATAAACATATATTCCTTTTGTAATCAGAAAAAATATATATTTAAAGTCATACATCTTGAAAAAAAGCAAAATCTTAAATAATTATGTGTCTGACATGGAGAATGTCTTCCTTTCTTTGCGTGGGAGCTGAGGTGTCCCAGGGAGTAGTATTATACCACCTATTAGAAGGGTGTTGTTTGTATCTGATTTTTAGTAGGAAAGACCTAGGAGCTGGCAGAAGATAAAACAAGGGCTTTCCCTCTCAATAACCAGGTGATGCTAATCAGTTTTATGTCCTGCTCTCGTGGGCTTTGCATAAACATTCAGAATCAAAGGCATGGCTCTCATTTCCTTCCTGCTTCCTTATTCTTTATTTCTGCCCTTCTCCCCGTATAGTTAGATGCCAGCCCTGGGTGGCAGCAGCAAAGGATCTGAGAGCTACCACTGCTTAAGGTCAACCTATTGGAGACTCTTAATGTGTAGTACGGACTTCCCTTATGGCTCAGCTGGTAGAGAATCGGCCTGCAATACTGGAGACCTGGGTTTGATCCCTGGGTTGGGAAGATCCCCTGAAGAAGGGGAACGCTACCCTCTCCAGTATTCCGGCCTGAAGAATTCCATTGACTACAGCCCATGGGGTCACAAAGAGTCGGACACGACTAAGCGACTCTCACTTTCACTTTCAATGTGTATTATCAGTCTCAAGTAACATTAGCAACCAGTCATGATTGACATACCACTGCCCTGGGAGTCTGGCATTTCTGCCAATAAAGCATTTAAGAGGTATAACTTATTTTTGCTTGGAGCTTCCTATCTAGTCAGGTACTTTGAAGTCCTTGGATATTTTATTTATATACATGTGTCTATCTCATCCTATTTCACATCTTACTTTGTTCCACAATTGTCAGGAATGCCTGACTACAAGGATTCAAAAAAGCTCATCCCACCTAACTGTTGCTAAGTAGGTTGTAGCTTTCAGACCTTCTCTTTGGCAGCCAATTGAAAAATCAAAGGCTACAACCCATTTGCCCTCCATACGATTGCCTTTGCTAGACTCTCAAAGGGGCGCATTTCATTTTATTAAAACTCTTTGAGTAATCTGACCATAATATGGCCTGATCGGAGTGGTTATCTGATTTGCTGGGTTAAATAATGGGCCTTAATTGAGTCTGCGTTATTTGTGGAGCCAGTGCTGCTCTTGCCTTTGTTGCCTCCTCCTCCTTCCTTGTGTTTCCCAGTTAACCTTCATTCTTCTTTCTTTGCAGAGTAAAGAAGTCGGCCAGCAGCTCCAAGATGATCTAATGAAGGTCCTGAATGAGCTCTACTCGGTAAATCAGCTGGGTTGCTTGGCTCTTTCACGAAGCAGTATTTGGCAGCTTGTGGCCATAGTCACGTCAGCACCAGAGCTGAGCTGAGGTTGAGGACAGTGCATGGTCCCCACTGGGGATGACTTCACCCATCTCTTTTTGCACTCTTATTTTCAAACTGGATTGAGCCCAAAAACACTTTCTCAAAATAGGATCCCTCTTTAGTTATGCAGGCTAACTCTGGCTTCTTTGGGGGCTTAATCACCAGAGACCAGCCAAGGTCTAGGTCACCAGCACAACTGACCCTCATGAATAGCAAACGAGGGACCCTGAACCTAATAGTAAGGAACTTAATTTACATTGCTATTGCTCTTTGAATAGTACACACCCTGTTGGAAAGGACCTGTTGTTCAAAGTTTTGCGTCAGTTCTCGGATTTATCTCCTGGTTTGAGACCAGAGCCAGTGCTCTAGAGGGAAGCAGAGTCCTCAATGCCCTTAACGTAAGGGACCAGTTCAAGCAGAGAGCCTTGCGTCGACTCCCTGGGGCTTTGGGAGGCCACACCTCAGTGGCGGGCCAGGCTTTGGGTTTGGTGGAGAGAACACAGTCTGCTCTGAAGTGACCGGCGCTGCAGGCCTGACGCCTGTGACTGACGCGTGTTTTTCCTCAGGCACAGGGAGGTGGTGGGGCTGTTTTTGTCCTAGTCATGTTTCGTAATTAAAACAAACATGCACACCAAGGAAATTCCTGCTGCCGTACAGGGAATATTCCTATTGTGCAGCTAAAGCCTCTCAGGGCCCCTTCTCCAGCTGGGCTGTGCCAGGCCTTTGTGTCATTCTCCAGGGTTGCCCCATCCTGTTTTGGAGGCAAAATTAATTTCCTGTGTTTACTTGCTTATTCACTACAGTTTTTTTTTTTTTTTCCTTTTTTTAATCCACAGGAAGACAGGCAGTGGTGACACGTATCACAGGCATTTGGGATCAGAGAATTCCATGTTCTTGATCCAAAAGCCGAGGTGTGGCCATGCTGTCAGGACAACTGTTAAGCAAGTAGATAGGGTAGAGTGGTCATCGGTTTTGTCTCCAGTGACGCTCAGTTTGTTTGCAATTTCTGCTCTGTGACTCTTCTGCTCTGAAGCCAAGTAGATAGATGGTTCCCTTTGGTTCAGTTCCCAAGTCTTCATTTCTTTCAAATGAAGTTAAGCCTTTTTAAAAATAGAAGCATGTTCATGAACCATATTCAGACTGGATGAGTTTCCTGAACCCCCTGGTCTTTTTAATGCTTTACTTCTGCTCTTTATTTTTAGAGCATCTTCTAGGCACCACGAAGAACTATTACTCCTTTCTTCTGGCAAATAATTCACCAGGATAGAAAATGACATGTGTAGTGATAATATGAATCCTTTTATTTTCCCGTAAGCATCTTGGGTCTCTGCTATTGCCCTTTCTAGGGAGGAGTAGCAGAGAAGGCAATGGCACCCCACTCCAGTACTCTTGCCTGGACAATCCCATGGACAGAGGAGCCTGGTAGGCTGCAGTCCACGAGGTCAATAAGAGTCGGACACAACTGAGCAACTTCACTTTCACTTTTCACTTTCATGCACTGGAGAAGGAAATGGCAACCCACTCCAGTGTTCTTGGCTGGAGAATCCCAGGGACAGGGGAGCCCGGTGGGCTGCCATCTATGGGGTCACACAGAGCCAGACATGCCTGAAGTGACTTAGCAACAGCAGCAGCAGGGAGGAGTAGGGGGATAATCAGCAAGCCCCAAACCAATTTAAATCCAGTATGCTGTTTCTGCAGGGGACCTGGAGGCAGCAGAGGAAGAGCAGTGTCTAGGGATCTGTTAGCTTTACTCTGCATCCTGGATCTCCTAATGTACCATGATTTTTTTTTTAAATAAATAAGTGAAAAGGCATAATACGTTTTGGTGTAAGAAAGAAAACCTTGGAACTCACTGCTCTGGTCTGAGGAGGGCCAAGTCGGCACTTCCAGCTGCAGTCTTCAGGCAATCCAACATTGACCAGTGTTCACTGGCCACCGTGAGGCCACAGTCAACAGAGCGTAAGGTCCTCTCACTGGTGTGCAAACCAAGAATTGGCTGGGCACGGTGTCCCCTTCCATTAGGTGAGTTGGTACACGCTCTTATCATCTATTTAAGGCCAGTAGACAGTAGGAAGAGAGAAATGAGCAGAGATGGAAAATTCCAGAGAAGGCAAAATGGTCTGGTGCAGTGATTCTCAATCAGGGGGATTTTTCAGGCAAGGGGACACTTGGAAATGTCTGCAGACATTTGTGATTGTCACAACTGGAGTAGGAGGTGCTAGAAGTCAGAATGCAATTGAAATCTTATAATGTGCAGGACAGCCCCCACAACCAAGAACTGTCTGACCTAAAATGGTCAATAGTACCAAGATTGAAAACCACTGCTCTAATGACTAGAGTCTCCTGAATTATGCAACCCAGATCCTACCTGGTCTCCACCAGCTGTATGATCTTAGGGGGTACTCCTGACCTCTGTGAGCAAGATCTCCACATATTCTCTATGCTGGTGTCTCCCATTTCCCGGGGAGGGAGGTGGGGCAGGGGGGATTTGGGGGAATCATGCTTCATGAAATATCAGACTATAGTTAAGGGTCAGATGAGTTTGCAGATTGTTGGCCATTAGAAAGTTCAGAGAATAGAAGTATAAGTTTTTTCTTCTGGAGTGTAAAATAAGTTGTAAGACTGGTCTGAGTAAGGTACCATGGCATTAAGGTGGCTAACTATCCCAGTTTGCCTGGGACTGAAGCCTTTCCTGGGACATGAGACTTTCAGTGCTGAGCCTAGGAAAGTCCTGAGTAAGCCAGGGTGATTGTCACCCTACGTGACAGTGGTTTCAGGCAGGAACTTGGGACTTTTGTATGCTGGGTCCAGGAGATACTTGTTGCACACACTCTCTCTGTCTTTCTCCCCCTCAGAGGAGTTAAAAAGAAAACAAGGAAGGACTTTTTGTAAGGGACTCTCCCCTCATCTGACCTTCGGGAAGAGCTTCTATAAGCAGTACAAGTTATTTGCAAGCATGGGATGAAGGAAACCAAGGATGTAAAGAAACCCAGCATATTCAGTGCTCCTTTTTCCTTGTATCTGTCCTTAATGCCCACAAATACCTCTTTGGGGGAGACTGATTACCTTTGGGTTGAGAATTTAGATACTTTTGAATCTTGATAATCTAATGGGCAGGACCCAGGTGTTCCCAAATAAAGATGCCTTTGGGCAAGAGGCCCAGATGCTCACCATAAGTGGCCAGCTGCCTTTCTGTACCTTCCTTTTTTCTGCCTGAAGGCCTTTGATTTTCATGACTTGGCACGCTGTGCCAGAGGCCGCTTGCCACAGCTGCTCTCAGAGAGCAATCCCAGGGAGCATTCTCCTCCACACGCTCTTTACCCCCTAATGGGCCGGCTAGTTTGTAGGCCGTGGTATCCGTGGTTTTCATTTTCTGACCGATGAATCAGGAATGCCTTTGAAGTCAGAGCACACTGCTTCCCAAAGAACTCCAGAATTCTCTGCCTCGGTCATACTCCGAGGCTGCATCTGGAAAAGCCGAGCCAGCTCCCACAGGGAGGGGTGAAGGCAGGGGCACGGAAGGCACGCGGGGCTGGCGGAGCAGGAAGAGCCAGCGAAGCCCTAGGACTGAGAAAGAAAGGCGAGGTGTGAGGACATGGAAGCTGTTGTCGCCCCACAGGTTTCAAGCTCCTGTGCGACCGATGAATATGTGTCCTCTTGCTTTGGTGCGGCAGCTGTCTGCAGGGCCACTTCAGACTGGAACTTAGCACCTGCTTCCTTGAAACAATGTCAGCTAATAGTCCCCAGCACTTGGCACTAGGGATACAAAGACATATAAGAGATGTCCTTGAACTTGAGGCATTAATTTTAACATAAGAGACAGAAAAGTAAAGCAGTAAGTAAAAGGTGAGGTGATGAATCTTTCACATATATACACAGAAGAAGGGTATGAAGTCAGGCTCCTTGGAGAGATGTTTGAATTAAATCCTAATTGCCAAGGGCTCTTTTATTGTTCTCTAAATGTTCCTTTTTTGTTGCATCCTGCTCTTGTTTCATGATGTATTGTCTTTTCATTTCTCAATGATCTCTCTAGGGATATTATTGATGGATTAATTTTGAAGTTTTCTTCTGTCTGTATACTTTCTGTTTTCTCCCAAATTGCTTGTTTTGGTCTTGGTCTTTCACGTTAGATATTTTCCTTAAATGTCTGGTAGTCTTCAGTTGCCTGCTCATATTTTAAAGTGAGACACTAAATAGTGCTTGAAAGTTCTCTGTCAACAGTGGTCTTTACCGTAGGGTGATCTGACTGGACTGTGTCCTTGGGAAAACCCTGATGTCAGTATTTGTAGGTCTTTTGTATCAGGTGAGCAGTTTCCCCAGGTAAGGCTTTTCTGATTTCCTGCCTATATCTAGGGTCTGAGTTATAAAGAGGGCTGGCCATCTCAACATTCAGTATAGAATTTTCCTGTTTTAGTTTCAGTACCCCTATCCTCAGCTGGGCCAGCTGTCCCCAGACATAGATGCCCCCCTACGAAAATAAACGTCTAGTCTTCCCAGCAGAGGGGCAGGGGATGGGTTCTGGAAGTCTGATTGTTCTCAGGTTCTTAGCCCCACCTTCATCCCACTTCCATTGATTCCTCTGAGAGTTTTTGTGATTTCAGTCCGATTGCCTCTTGCCTCTCCACTTTTCATCTTCTGCTTTCATTCTTTTTCTCAGTTTATAACTAAAAAATAACATAAAATCTCTTTTCTGTTATTTTGGTGTGGCTTGGGGAGGGAGCAGAATTAAAGACATGAATTCAATATTTCATTTTTCAAAGTAAAGTGAACTCCTTTGTAAAACCGAGAATTTAGACTTGAGAATTCCCCCTAGTTTGTGTTTGCTTCACTGTATATATTTCTCCAACTCCTATCTTGAGTTCCCTATTTCTGCAACAAATTTTCTTTTATAATCAATTATTCAAGCTTTATCCTTAGTTTCCCCTTGAGTTGAAGGGCCCTAGTTATACTTCTCCTGTATTTGCACAGAGGAGAGACTCAGTCATGTGGGCAATGACGTCGACTGTAAATCTACCACTGTGTACATAACATATTTCTTAACTGTGGAGAAGAAAGAAAAACACAAAAGAAGAAGTGGTGCTTACCCTTAGGAAGTTATAGTTTCTTAGATGAGGTAGTGTTTTACTCTTTTAAAGTGAGTTCAAGTTCTTTAGGGGAAAGGAGTAATACACGTTGTTAATTTTTTTTATTTCATTTGTTGTCCTGTTGGCACTGTTCCTTTGAGCCTCCCCGTTTCTTTTGGTCCTTCATGTTCATTAACAGCATTTCCTCTTTATTTATTACACATTTTCATGGAGTAAAAAGTCACTTTCTTAAAGTCAATTCACTTTTATAACGGTTCACTCAAACTTTTGAATCCCTTAATCACATTCAGATGAAAAGAAAAAAAGGAGCCTCCTATCTACCCTTCTTCAGCTAGGATAGCAGATGCCTCTTTCTTGCTTCCTAGTCAATCTGGAAACCTGGAAGACAAATTACTTAGGAAGGTTTTTAATGCTGTCAGATGCTAAATATTGCTTCTCCTATGTAGAGAATATACAGAGTAGATCTTATACTTAAGGGAAGTGTCAGGTTCAGAATAAGGTGAAGCTGATTTTAAACAATCTCCATCGAAAGTGAGACATCACTTAATGTCTAAAGCACTTTGATTTTGTCAGTATCCCAATATTCTGTACTCCTTCCTCCACCTCCAGCTAAGGGAGCAGTATACATACCCACAAAATTCCTCTAACCCAGGATTTCTCAGCCTTGGAATCATGGACATTTGGGGCCAGGTAATACTGTAACAGTGAAAAATCTCTCTAGGAATTGTTGCCCTGGGGGCTGAATTAGCCCCCATCTGAGACTCTAACTCAACCAGATAAGGAAACCAGATTCTCTTTTTAAGCCTCTCTTGACTCAGTGTAGCCTTTCTTCCCAACTAATCCAGCCATGGCCCATACAGAAGGGAGATGCTGGTGCTCAGTGACTAAGGACATGAAATTTGTGGCCTGACAAACATGGGTTTGAATCCTGATTCTGATTTATTTACTAGCTGTGTGACCTTGGATGTGATAGTTAGTCTCTTTGAGCCTCAGTGTCCTCATCTTTAAAAGTGGAAATAATAGCATGTCGTTCATAGACTTGTTGTGAACGTTAAATGAGATGACATGTGTCAGGCCTCTGACACACAGTGTTGACCAAGGGATCGAGATTACTATTACGCCCCGGCCCTCCTCTGTTGTTCAGCCCCTGCCTCTGACACGCACCCCAGCTGCTGCCTCTCTGATTCTCCCACCCCGACCTTCCTCTGTAGTTCAGCACCACCACCCCCAACACACACACCCCAGCTCGTGCCTCTCTGATTCTCCCCCTCACGGCATCAGAACGTCAGCACTCATGAACTTCAGCTTGCTTGGTTTGTCAGCAAGCATTTTTAATTTCCAGATATAAGCAGAGGCTCCCTGTGTGGAAACGGAGAGCTCCAGCGGGGAGGTGCAGACACCTGGTGACTGGAAGTGGTGTGTTTGGGAGGAAATGAGGCTTCCCAGGCTTCCCAGCCTCCTCTGTAGGAAAAGGGACTAGACTTCCAAACCGTTGCTGTGATGAAAAATGTGAAAGTTGTATCCTCTCCTTTGATATTACGTCCTTCCTTTGGCAACTGCAGTTTCAGCTGATGTGGATCCTGTCCCTTCTTAGGCTCTTCCCTGAATTTTTCTGCAGGTCTGCAGTCTTCATGGGGCTGTTGTCTAGACCACAGCATTGCTACAAGAATGAGAAAATGCATGTATAGCACTTGGCACATAGTCAGGGAAGTAGACTCAGGGCTCAGTAAGTGGTAGCTGCCCTTGTTCTTGCTGTGAGAGGGGGCATTTGATCTGGATAAAGCAAACCAGTCAGATTTCCCAGGACACAAGGCCAGTAGAAAGCTTCCCCATTTCGTGTCTGAGAGTCCCCAAAGCATAGGCTGCTCCGCAGGCTGTGCTGCCCTCTTCAGGGTCCCAGCCAGACCAGGAAAACTCTTGGGGTCTGAGTGCTGATGTTTCCTATCTTGGTCTTGTGAGATGACTAGTAACGGAAATTACCCATATAAAGTAAAAATGCTCACAAATGTTCATAAATAGGAGTAAATGATTCCTGGTGGAAGACATAAAATGATTTTAACAGTAAGACATGTTGGCTCACTTCAAATACTGCTTTCCTGTGCTTTGGAGTGGTCTTTAATATAGGAAGTTGGCTAAACCAAACACGTATGAATTTTTCCGTTAAGGGTATGAGAACATTGCTCATGGAGGAGAGATCCAGCTGAGTCTCTTAGCCTGTAAAGCAAAGAACTGACCCCACTGGCTTGACCTCTAGGGGTGGGGGTGGGGGTGTCTTGCAGGTCATGAAGACATATCACATGTACAATGCCGACAGCATCAGTGCTCAGAGCAAGCTAAAGGAGGCGGAGAAGCAGGAGGAGAAGCAAATTGGAAAATCTGTGAAGCAGGAGGACCGGCAGACCCCACGCTCCCCTGACTCGACGTCCAACGTCCGCATTGAGGAGAAGCATGTCCGGAGGAGCTCGGTGAAGAAGATCGAGAAGATGAAGGAGAAGGTGTGTAGGGGCTGGGGAGGAACACTTGAAGTCAGGACTGATAGGAGATTTCCAGTAAGCCCTGCGGAGAGCGGAATATGGAAGTCCTGGGTTCTTCTAGTGTCTAATGATCTTGCAGTCTGCCCTGAAAGAAATCCTGGTTATTGGAAAAACCTGGGCATCTGTAGCAGATAAACAAGAAACAGTAGTCGCCTTTCCCAAGCCTGGGAGGGGAACTGTAGACCTAGGGTTTGGCTTCAGATGTCAGGCGTTCAGAGGCAGTTATAGTGACACCTCCTTCAGGGTGGCGGTGCAGGGGTGGAGGATGGAATTTACAGATAGAACCAAAGTGGGACACACATCTAAAGTAGGAGCCTCACTAACCTTTCCTGGGCTGTTCTACATTATGCCCTTGACTCTCATTACACAGAATTAGAACCCAATTTAAGGCAGACGCGCATAGGGAGTAGCAGCACAATTGTGGTTCTTGAATGTACTGTACTTTCCATCTTTTAGCGAGCAGTCTCCCCTCTTAAAAAAATTAAAAAGTAAAAATGAACTTCTGTTCTCTTTTCAGCGCCAAGCCAAGTATACGGAAAATAAGCTGAAGGCCATTAAAGCCCGGAATGAGTACTTACTGGCCTTGGAAGCCACCAATGCCTCTGTCTTCAAGTACTACATCCACGACCTGTCTGACCTTATTGATGTAAGTGCTTAAAGCCAAAGGTGCAGGGGTACGAGGGACACAAGGGTCCCTTGTCCTGATTCTGAAGATCTGATCAGGAGTCCCCCAGTTCTGTTGCTCAGGCATCTTAGAGCATTTTGAGAACACCTATGAACATGGTAGCCATGATCCCTCTGGGGCTTGCCATGTACCAGGTATCAGGTGAAGCACTTTACACATCTTTTCATTCAGTCCTCCCTAGAATCCTGGGAGGAAGGCGTTATTACCTCCATTGTTACAGATTCAAATTCAGAGAGTTTAAATGACTTTACCTAGAAATAAGTGACCGAGGCAAAATTGGTACCCAGGTCTGATTAGTAAACCCAGGCTCACAACCACTGTGCACTTGCGTCTCCCAGGAAATATTCCCTTAGATCAGCTACTTGCCCATCGAACTGAGTGCCAAGAACTAAAGGCTTAGAATGTCATACCTTATTAGTTTATATAGCTCTTAATGTTTCTCAGTATTATCTCATTTGATTGTCATGTCACTCTTTTGGGTCAATATTACAATCTCCAATTTGTAGATAAGGAAATCTAGGTAGGAGGTCAAAAGAGTTCCTGCCCAAAGTTAAACTGCAAATTAAAGTCCTGGTCAGGAAGGCACCCGGCTGCCACTGACATCCGGCTCATACCTGCTGATGTGACGCACAGATGATGAGAGGTCAGATCTGCGGCGCATGTGTCTTGCGTGGGGCGGGCACAGGGACACGGGTTTTGTCTCCAGCCTTACGGGTCGGCCTTGGTTTGGTTTCTGCCGCTGCTTCTCCTTCGGAGGAGCCTGGTAGGCTGCAGTGCGTGGGATCGCAGAAAGTCGCACACGGCTGAGCAACTTCACTTCTTCGCTGCTTCTCCGTACACCGTGTAGTGAGGTCTTGCAGTGGCTCTCACCTGCAGACACCAGTCTGGGCCAGTTCTGAGCCAGTCCTGACTGCAGCTGCTTAAGTACCCCCGCCTCTCCCGCCTGTATCAGAGTGAGGGGCCTGAAGCCATCCAACTCAGCTTCAGCCTCCCAGCGTCCAGGGCCTCAGGCGGAGCCGGGCCGGTCTCCTCACAGAGGTCTGTCAGCAGGCAGCAACTGAGTTCTGTGAGCCTCTGGCCAGACCTCACATACTTGCCTGTCGACCTTGGTTTCTTTGCGAACGGACCTGCCCCCGTTTCACCATGTTGTGTGTGGTTCTGGTCTGAGACTGGCCATTGTGTGACTAGCTGTTTGACCTGAGGCTTGTCACAGAGCTGGTTTGGAACTCTGCTGTGTCTCCCGTCCAGCCCCCGGCAGACTGAAGAACTGGGCTCAACCACTGGGTGCTTCAATCTGGCCTCACATCAGAGCTGCTTGGGAAGGTTTCTAAAATAGTAGTTTCTCTCTCCCTGCAGCCAGGGCTTTCTGAGTCAGTAGGTATCAGCCTCCTAATGCCCTGAGTGTCATCGTTTCACCGGGTCCGTGGAGCCCTGACCCCTGTCCAGGCCCTGTTCTCGCTACTTGTCGATGCCGATCTGAACACTGACCTTCAACGGAGGTCAGGGCCTTGGACAGGATCCTTTGTCCTCTTCACGGGAACATCTCCTCACTGTTGGGAGAGAGACCTGTTCTCAGCATGAGGAGGGGAATCACTTCTTTCTTATGCTCAATCTCTGCTGTTTATCTCACATTCGATTAAAAAAAAAATCATACCTGGGCGGTCCACCACACCTCTGCTGTGGGTTCTGCTTCTCTCTTTTGCCCCCAGGGTACTTTCTCTCCCCTTTCACCAAAACCCTGACCTCTGTGGAAGAGAGGGGTACTGCTAAGTCAGTCACAATTCACAGACCCTCCGTCAGATGTGAATCAGTGTTTTTAAATCAGTCCGAGAAGCAAGCTATTTTGCTCCTTATTATCATTTTAAAAAAAAAAAGAAGCTCGTTAGGAGCCTGTCTTCAGAGGATGATATGTGAGATGCCATTAGCATTCAGCCAGGGTGTGGTTCTAGGTCAGTAGGAGCAAGTCCAGGCTGGTCGTGTTCAAGGCCACATGGATAGTAAAACGCTCTCACTTTATTTTGTTTGTTTGTTGTTTGTGTTTTTGTTTTTCCTGGAGTGAAATTAATTAGTCTTTTAAAAAAGAAAAAGAAAGAAAGCTTATAACATTATTATGCTTTACAAATGTTCAGGAAGTATTTATTTGGGATGAGACTATGTGTCCTGCAGCATCAGGGTACCAAAATAATAAAATAATTCTTACCCTAGAGGTATTCATAGACATACAGAGGGACCATTTTTTATCTAACTGGCCAATTGCAGCACCAGCGCTAAGCACAGGAAGTCCTAGGACTGTGGTTTTCAAATCATAGGTCATGATCCATGAGAGGAGTCATGAAGGTTTGACTTATTTTACTTCAATGAATAAACTAGACTAGGATAGAACAGAATGGGAAAGAAGGGTGCATTACATGAGTAAGGTTAAGTTTTATTTGGTAAAACTATTATGTTAGAGGTGTGTGTGTGTGTGACAATGTAAGATGTATTTCTTCCTATTAGTTGGAGGCCAAAAGAAGTTTGAGAGCCACTGCACTAAGAACAGAGGAAGGTCTTTTAGTCTCTGTAAGCTCCCTGAGGGCAGGAATCAAGTCTCTTCTTTACCATGCATATATAAGTACAGGGCATACTAAGCCAAGATTTTTTTCCTTTTTATGCCTTTCAATACTGTTTTAATTGAGATCTAATTTGCATACAATAATTGAACTTGTGTTAAATTGCAAGAATTGTGATGAATCTTACACCCTTATAACCTGTGTCTCTATGAAGATGTAGAATATTTCCATCACCTCAGAAAGTTCCTCTTTTCTCTTCCCAGTCAGTCCTCCACCCTGAGGCCACCACTGTTCTGATTTCTTTTGACTATGAATTAGCTTTGCCTGTTTCAGAACTTCACAAAGGTGGGCTTTTTATATAGTATGTATTTTTTTTTTTAAATCTGGCTTCAGTTGCCCAGCATTATGTTTTTGAGCTCCATTCATGTTATTATATGTGTCAGTAGTTTCCTGCTTTTTCTTGCTGATCTGTTGCCGTAAAAATGGCCAAAAGGATGGTTTGGCCATGAACCAACAGTTAGAGCAGAAGTGAGTGGGGAGCCCGGTTATCCCTTGGCTTTCTGATCTTGCCTTGAGATGTGGGATGAGTCTTGTGCCAGTCCATTGCCCTCTGTGTTATGGACACCATTCTGCCTCCTTCTCGGCAATGTCAAAGCTCATTGTGTGCTCAGGCATCGAGGATAAGTGAAAGATTTTTGTGGATACCAGTCCATTCAAGGACTAGCCCTTCACTTCCTTTCATTGTATAGTATAAGATTTAATCTCAGATTGTAGGAATCCACTTGAAGCATCTGATACACAGCAGGAAAACCTTGACTTCGGGCCAAAAAAGACATTCTAAAGTGACTTGAGATAGTCTAAGAACCACAGGCTCCTTGGAATGTACTTTTCTTCCCCAGAAGCAGATGGATGAATAAAGAACCAGGCACTGTCCTCATGGAGTGTGGTGAGTGCTGTGTGTGGGCAGAGAATCTGTGACACCATATGCACCCAAGTCGGACAGGAGGGAACCCAGCTTTCTGAATAGGACATTTTATTAAGGGCGATTATTTCTCGCTTCTATGAGAGCTTGAAGTGGGTATTACTTTTCTAGGCCTTCACTAGATCTCTGGGTGAGACTATCAGCTGGTGAAGGGTTAATGAACCATCAGTTCAAGTCATCACACATCTGGAAGGGCTATCATTAAATTCTTATAAAAATTTGATTTCCCCTGAGAGAGTTTTCATCAAACATTTATATAACCCAGAAATGGCCAGGGGAGCCCGGCATGGCCACAGAACTCATCAGAAGCCATGGAAAACATACTTTGTCCCCATTGTGAGCAAAATAATGTGCTGCCTCTGCTCACTGGGATTCTACAGGGAACGGGGATGAAATATTCAAATCTTGTTTACCTAGCCTTGCGAGAAATTGCTTCTTTTCTGACGCCTCGGTTTCCGGCTGTTGCCCTTTCAGATATGTGGGTAGCCAAGGCTCTGGAAAACCTGAGTCTCCTGGCTGGCTGAAGGCGTGGCTGAGCCCGAGGGCGCACTGTGAGTCAGGCCCCCACGCGCTGGCACAGAGAAGCTCCAGCACAGTCACTGTAATAAAGCCTGGACGGGCCCAAGAGACTCTGTCTTCCATAGGCCATCCAGAGTGAGCAAAGCTAAAGGCTTCTGTGGCCACAGCTGCCCGCTTGACTAAGATCAGTGTTCAGCCTAAGTGGATTATTTCCTCAGAGGCTAGAGTCTGTACTGCTGGCATCAACCAGTCAACTGGTGCTTATTAAGTGCCTACTGTGAGCAAGGCCCAATGGTAAGGGATGCAAAGAAAGAGGAAGACTCTGGCCAAGCCCTCTTTGGAGGCTGATGTGAAATGGCAAGTTACAGGACGAGGGGATGCGTCCTGTGTCACCTCAGGGCTGCGATGGACGTCATTCTGGGTGGAGGGTTATTATGTGCCAGGCTTGTAGGGATGGCTGGCTTCCTGGAGGTTGAGAAGTTGATTTGGCTTTTGAAGATTGGGTCCAGTTCCAGCAGGTGAGAGGAGTGAGAACTGTTTCAGGAAGAGAGAATGCCTGGAGCTGAAAGTCAGTGGACCTGGAGATACAGGTGATCAGTGTTTGGTCTGCGTGGTGCTGGATATCAGTAAACATGTATTAGCTTCACAACAACCTCCGAGGCTGATGTTATCCCTCTGTGGGGCTCAGAGAGGTTAAATAGCTTGCTAACAGTCAAACAGCTGATTTCAGGCCTATGGTTTTCTAATACTTGACCCCAAACAATGAGTATGTCATTGGATTAGAACAGAAGAGTCTGAAGAAGAAGATAGAGGCAGATGATGTTAGATGGTGAGACCGAAGACAAATTACACTTTGCTCTGACCATCAACTTTGTTTAACTTCACTGAGCCTCAGCTTTCTAGTCTGGAAAGTTAAAATCATACCCACCTTACTGGAGTTACTATGCAGAGTAAAATGCAAAATATAAAGAAGGCATTTAGCACACTGGCATATAGTAAGCACACTTAATAAATGGAGGCATTTTTAAATTTCCCTACTGAGGGAGGTGGATGTTACTTTAGGGGGAAAAAAATGAGAGCTATTATAGGTTCTTCAGCAGGGGAGTAGGTTTAACAAAAGCCGTATTTTAGAACAGTGGAGCAGACAGCACTGTAAGATGCTAAGAGTGTGGATTAGGGTACAGGTAGTGAGTGTGGAGAGGAGAGGGGAGTCACCAAAAACATGTAAAGGTGATGAAGCCTGTCTCCCCTAATTCTCCTCTGCACTGAAAAGGTCCCCCCACCTCCACCACATACTCAGCCCTGTGGGCATTGTTACTTCTGTTCATCAGACTTACAGGCATGAAATTCATCAGCGGGAGTCTACGCAGAGCTAGTCAGGAAGGTTTACAGGTTCAAGGGAGGCTTGGCTAGACCAGCAGCATCTCCCAGAGGAGAAAGGGCCCCTGCGTGTGCAACCTCCCAATCAGCCGCTTTTGTCTAGCTGCCCTCCCAACTGAATTTAATGTCTTTCCATCCTCTGCCTCTAGTTAAGCTGTAACTGCTGTTCTTCCGCACAGCCAGGCACCTGCCAGGGCCCACTGGCACTGAGTCCAGAGCCCAGCCTGACAAGCACTCTGTCGTGGAGCTTCTTGTTAAATGCTGTGAGGAAGAGGCGCATCACATGCTTTTTCTTCCCCAGCAGTGGCTGTTCCCAGTGTGATCATGAAGAGGGGGGAAGACTGGGGGAAGAGTTAATTTGATGCCTACTTATGGAATGAAATGGCAATCAGGCAGATGGTCTCGCTCTATCCATGGATTCTTCTCTGATATTTCATCTCAAGTTCTGGATATCAAAACTGTTTGAGCAATAGAGGGGATAATGGGTGACTGAGGAATTTGGATCTCTGGGTCCTTTGGGAGGGATAAGGAATAGAGTTACAGAATGCCATTGCTGAAGAGGGCCTCAGGGATTATGTTTAGTCCAAGTATTGATATTTTCAGTCTTACTCTTTAACAGAAGAATTCTTTCTTCAAATCAGACTTTACATAGAATCCTAATATATTGAGTAGAAAAACGGGCAGAGCTGGTTTGGTTGAAGCAGGGATAGGAGGCTCCAAGTCCTACTATTTGGGCTGCCCTCTCTTAGGGGCAACCTGAGTACAGAACCATAGAGCTCTGTGCTACAGCTTGAAAACCACTGCTGGCCAAATCTTTTCATTTCACATTTGAGGAAATGGGTTCAGGGAGGGGGAATGGTTTTTCCAAGGTTGCTTGACTTCCTGTCCAGTGCTTTTTTTAATACTATTGCGTCTTTCATACCATTTTTTTTTCCATGTTATTTCAAAAAATCAGAATCCCTTAAGTGATGTGAATTTTCCCAGTAATACTTATATTTAGAAATTTTTGGTCTCAGAAATGCTGTTGGGCCAGAGCTTTAGTGCAGAAATCCTAATCTACAACTATGGCCTGTCCTAGAATGTTGGGAGTTTGCTGGGGGCAGGGGCTGATAAGGACAGGGTCAGCCCCGCTCCCCCATTTTTATTTCTCTCACTAGAATTCTCTTGCAGGGATTTCTAAGTAAGCCCTGAATGCTGAAATGGCCTGACTTGGTTGGTATGTTGTAATGAAATTACGGTAACCCTGAAGGAGTGTCAGGCTACATTTGTATTGTTGAATTTCATTACACTGGTATCCCCAGAAGAACCTGAAAATAGAAGAAAATTCTCCCCAACTCTTTCATGTTTACTGAATAGCATGATTAAATAATTTCATTTTGTCCCAATGAGTCCTCTTCTTCTGACTACCTCACAGTCCTCTAAAGAGTCCTACATACTGAACTAGGAGTCAAGAATGGAAAAATATCACCCAGATCACGGAGGGCCAGCCTTCACCCCGTAGCACAGCCAGTCTCACTAATCAGATCTGCCCTGGGGGCTGCCCTCTCCTCTGCCGAGCCTCACGGCTGTCCTTGGTTTGCTCACGTGCCTTCTCCGCTCCACAGCAGTGCTGTGACTTAGGATACCACGCCAGCCTGAACCGCGCGCTGCGCACCTTCCTCTCTGCCGAGCTGAACCTGGAACAGTCGAAGCACGAGGGTCTGGACGCCATCGAGAACGCTGTAGAAAACCTGGACGCCACCAGTGACAAGCAGCGCCTCATGGAGATGTACAACAACGTCTTCTGTCCGCCGATGAAGTTTGAGTTCCAGCCCCACATGGGAGACATGGTGAGCCCCTCTTTCCTCTCCCGCACCCCCAGGGGGCTTGAGCTCACTGGGGTCTAGAGTTTCTGCACTCAAGCCGTGGTATTCTGGAGAGGGCAAGGCTTGGGGCTGGCTTCATGTGGGTGGAACCCATTCCAGCCATTCAGCAAACAGCTCCTGGGTGCCTGCTGTCCACTAGGCTTGACCATAGACACTGGGGGTTAGCGCCCTCAGGGAGCTTACAGTTGATGAGTTGCAGAAATATGCATAGACGGGACACCGAGAGGGACTGGCAGGATCAGAGGAGGTGAGAAACAGCCAGCGCGCTCTAAGAACTACTAACAGTTCCATATGATGAAAGGAAAGGGGAGGTGGAGTCCTCCAGCTGGTGAGGCTGAAAGAAGCGAGGGCTGAGATGGAGCCAGATACCTCAAGGTTTCTGATGGGGAGGGAGAGCTCAGCAAGCTGATGGCGTGATCTTCTGTCATTTGTCAGAGTTCTAAAGGCACTTATTCTCATGGGTTCAGAAGTTTGTGATAAAAGGGGTAGTTTTACTTAGGTATTGAACAAAAAAGAATGGATACTACAGAAGGACAAGAGCTAAGATGTCACCCCTAAGAATGGCTGTCCAGGAAGCAGTGCATGAATGCAGGGGTCTTTTCTCTGATTTTTTACCTCTGATGGCTAAAACAAGAAGGGCCTAAATAACCTGAAGTGAGAGGAGAGAGCAGCTCTTTGGTTCTGGAACCTCTGAATCTTGAGGTTCCACTTCTGGTGGTTGTTCATATAAATCAAAGTGAATCTTCTTCCTGGGTTAGGAGCCACCACTTGACCTTTGGATTAAATCAGAAGGAGGATATATAAGCTTACATAATAGAAAAGGTCAATACAGATCTTCAGGCATGGGTGAATTGAGGGTTAGGAATTATATCAAAAGACTCACTTTTTCTCGCTCTGCTTCACATCCTATGTTTTGGCTCTGTTCTCAAATAGGCTTTTATCCTGTGGGGGCAAGGAGTCTCCATTTGCAGCCTTATCCCCCTGTGGATTGAAATCCAACAGAAAGAACATCTGTTTCCTTGGGAATTCCTGGTAGTTCAGTGGTTAGAACTCCATGGTTTCCCTGCCTTATGCCCAGGTGTGATCCCTGCTCAGGGGAACTAAGATCCCGCAGACCCCAAGCTGCATGGTGCCGCCAGAATAACAAGCAAACACAGAGAGTATCTTCTTCCCTCCTGGAAGCCCTCACAAGTCTCTCCTTGTCTCCATGGCTCTGATTGGGTGATGTGCGTACCCCTGAGCCAATCACTGTGGTTGGTATCTGCAGTCAGCTGAGGCCATACCCTGCACCCTCAAGTTTGGGAAAGTCCCGTCCAAAGCACAGGGCCTGAGTTGTGAGTGAAAATTTCCCCCTCAGAGGACAGTCAGGCCGAAGTTACCAGAAGGAGGAGGAAAGAATGCTGGGTGACAGAAAAAAACAACAGTGTCCTCTCAACAAGGGAACAGTTCTTCCATTAAGATGAACATCCAGATGCTCTTTAGAAAACGCTGCTCCAGAATGAGAGCTGGTGCAGCGTCAGCAGTGGATCTGCTGTCATCAGTAGGCCACCATGGAGAGTGGGACATTTCTATCCTAAGAACAGAAGTGTGGGGATGGTTTCTTTCCTCCTCTCCTTCTTGGGAAAACCGTTTCCAGTTTGTCTCCATTGCTGTGGCTCAGGAAATGTCAGCGTTGAACAGATGGAAAGGGAGATGGCAGCATGTGCAGCTAGAATACGGGGGTGGGGTGTCACTGAGCCCCAGGAAGCCCCATTCCTCACCTGCTCTGGCTTCTGGTCAGACTTGTCTTCCAAACCCCTTCTCCAGCTGCCACGGAGATTCCTTCCCAAGAAGTAGTGGAACTTGGGGACCAGCTGAGTGGAGTGATATTAATACATTTTCTGGTGTCGACTGTGTTGCCTGCTAAGCCCAGCAGCTTGTCTCCATAAAGGGGGATTCCAGACACTGAGTGCTCAGGCTCCCTCCTCGCCCTGTCAAAGCCTCATTCCCATACTCCGGAGCACAGCTGGAATGCATTACCTTGCACCCCGGTAGAGGACCACTGCCAAAGCATTCATCAGCAGCCCTGCTGCTTCTTAAAGAAACAAGCGTGGAGATGGTTTTCCCTCCATGATTCCCGCCTGCTAGATTGAAGTTACTTTAAAAATCAATAGTTCAGTCTTCTGCCTAGGCCCTCCCTTTGTGCGATGCTAGCTGATCAGTGGCTGAGCCAGGCAGGGGCCGGGGCGAATCCTAGATCATGCAAAGGTTTTGCTTTCCAGCCTCGCCTTCATGTGAGTGGAGAAGAAAAGCGATGAGAGGCCAGTCTTTCTTGGTCCTTGCAGCCATCTATCCCCAGTCAGTGAGGGCTGTGTATAGACCGGAGGCGAGGAGAGGGAGCTGCCTGGAAGTCCTTGAACTAGGGCCAAAGTTCGGGTGGCATTCGGGCCGGAAGCCCTGAAATTGGCCGAGGCCCCACACTGCTTGGTGTTCTGGGGCACTCAGCACATGGACTGATGCCAAGCACTCTCCGATGCACTGGGAGGAGGCGCTTGGCTCTACCCTTGGTGCCCCCAGAGGCTCGTGGGGCTCTGGATGCCTGACCGGTGACATCAGGCAGCCAGAGAGTTTCACTATTGGCACCATCCCATCCTGGCCACCGAGCTTTCTCCATTGTGTCTGCTTATCCAAGAGCCAGGATGAAGTCAGCTCTCTTCAGATCTGAGAGCTGGCTCAGGCCAGCCTCTCAGCTGGGGGAGGAGGTCAAGTCAGTTGAGAGCTTAAAAGCCAATGGAGGAAAAGGTCAGGTCCCAGCCCCCTCCATCTGAAGAGAGGTTTTGTCTTTTCAAGCAAGAGAATGGTCTGTGGGCTTGGGAATCTGCCCACTCGTCGCTGGGGAAGGAGGAGGCTGGTTCTATCCAGATGTCTCTCCACAAACGAGAGGCTAAAGGACACGTGGTGGCAAGGTGACAGGAGCTGCCTGCACGTGGTCCTGCCTCGCAGTCTGCCAGCCTTCTGTTCCTCATCTGTCATCCTGGGGATGGTGGGGGACCTCAGGCCCACACCATCGCCACAGCCCCATCGGGAGACAGTGGCTCAGCCCTCCCCTCACTCAGGGCGAAGCTTATTGACAGCGGTCCTTGGGAGAAAGACAGACTTTTCTCCCACGCAGATCTGGTGAAGACCTGGAGTGAAATGATGGCTTTTTGAAAATGCCAAGTTCCACAGGATTCCATGCCCTCTGGGGCCCTCTAGCATTGCCCGTGGACTTGCTCCTGGCCTCACAGTTTCTCTCATTGAGTCAGAGCTCTCATGCATGGCCCAGATTTATAAACACATGCTGGCTTCCAGCAGCAGCACGTTAGCCTCCTGACCCACTTCTCTCCTGCTCTCACTCTGGTGCCCAGTGGGGAACAAAGGCGGGGCCAGAGAGGTGGCCACTTGGACCTCTGGCAGGAAACCCTCCCTGGGCCAAAGCTTGTGTGCCTGGAGCTAGGGCTGCCTGAAGCCCTCTTCTCTGCCCTGACTCCGGCTTCTTGGGAGCCGCAGGCCCTTTATTGACCTGCCCCTGCCAAGCACCAGGCTAGAGGTGGGCTCCAAAGAGAGAGAGAGAGAGAAACCTTGTCAAACAGGTTCCCTCCCTCCTTCTTTTCTTGTGCTATTTGGTCCTAGAAAAGGTCTACACACTTTGGCTTTGGATTTTGTTTCACGTAGAAGTTGTGAGCTTTGCAGCTTGAGTACGCGTCATTTTATTAACAGTAACGGGCCTCTGACAAAAGATCTGTGTCCTTTCCCTGACCTGGTGTTGCTTTCTTTTGGCAGGCATCCCAGCTCTGTGCCCAGCAGCCCGTCCAGAGTGAGCTGGTACAGAGATGCCAACAACTGCAGTCTCGCTTATCCACGCTGAAGATCGAGAATGAAGAGGTGAGTTTCCTGCTCAGGAGGTTCGCAGCCACCCTCTGAGTTTCCCTGTCGAACCTCTTGCTGTTCCCCACACGGGAGCAGGTGGAAGGAGCACGCAGGGAACATCCGGGCTGCCGCAAACATTTCCTAGCCAAATGTAGGCTTGGATTTTCCCCTTCTGCTGCATCCTGCCCTTGAACTCCAGGAAGTGGCTCTTGCATTGCCAAAGGTTGAGCTCTATTTTGAGCCTTCTGCAAAATGCTTTTGTCCCCGCCTTACACATTTAATCAAAATGGCACTTGGCAGCTGTGTGAACAATATTGTATCTCTGAAACCACCCCCTCCTGCCTGGCTTTTTCCAGCATTTTCAAACAAACAGAGGCCTTTGACTTTGACACTTCAAACATCTCCATCCTCTTAGAAAAGGGCGACTTTCTTCTGAGCCCAGTGTATTTGCTTTCAACAACTAGTTCAAAAGGGCAGTGCAATTGATTATCAGCTCCTTATTCTTTGAGCTCTTGTGACTTCTTACCTGGAATCTCAGTTAAGTCTTACTTTCCCCTGTAAGATCAGGAAAGCCTGGGGATGGGTCACTTGGTTTGCAAGTGGGGACACAAGCTTGTTATTTGTTGAAGGTCAGGAAACAGAACCTGGGTCATGGTGGGACTCGGCCCATCACACATTTTTAACCCGCTCTCTATATGATGGGGTTGCTTTGGATTGGTTTCATTCTCTCTCCCTTAGCAAGTCCAGTATAACCAAGAGCTAATCTTAACTTTAAAAATTAAACATTAAATAGCCAGGCCAAGCAGGCAGTATGAGGGAGGTAGTGGGTTTTAGGCCCTTACTGAAGAGAAGAGGGTCCATGTGATGTTTCCCACTTGCTCAGCACTGTTCATTGGGAAGCAGCGCTGCAGGCCCGCTAACACCTGCTCCCTTCTTCCTCAGCTCACTTCTCCAAGCTTCTCCATCACTACCGTCTTGCAGCCCACCCCTCATGCATTATGTTGGCCCTTATCATGACAGGTAAAGAAGACGATGGAGGCCACTCTGCAGACCATCCAGGACATTGTGACCGTCGAGGATTTCGATGTCTCTGATTGCTTCCAGTACAGCAACTCTATGGAATCCGTCAAGTCCACGGTCTCAGAAACTTTCATGAGCAAACCCAGCATCGCCAAAAGGAGGGCCAACCAGCAGGAGACGGAGCAGTTCTACTTCACGGTGAGGGGCTCCGCGCCCTTTAAAGACTGGCTTTAGGCGCTGCAGCACACATGAGCCATTTGGATCCCAGGGTCCTTGTCAGGCATCTTCAGGGCAGTTTTTGAATATCTTCACTTGGATCTGGGCATGTTCGGAGACCATCCGTACACTTCAAGTCACAAATATTTACAAGTTGTGTGTCTACCAAGAATATTTTCTTCTTGAAGACGTTTTTAACCAGCTAGTAGACTTTGTTCACAACTTTCCTTCTCATCCCTGGGCATCATCCTAGGGGGCTGCATCTGCTAGTTCTTGAGAACCACACTGAGATATTTTGGATAGCATACCTTACAGTTAAAATCTGTTATTTATTCTAGTTGATGTGATAACTTCATAATTTGTGGCAATACAAAATTATTTTTCATAATAATGGCTAAAACTCAAAGGGACGGGTAATGTGCAGCATTATTGGTTTGCAGAGAATTCTAAAACGTTTTATTTATATTTTGTTATTTATGCATCTCCCAGTCCTCTTTTAGACAGGTGGACCCAATTTTTTTAAGTAGTGTTAACAGTCCTTTGGAAGGTTGCTGGTTGGTCTTTGGTGAAACTTTTTAATAATTGAGTTATTTCGAGCTTGCCAAGTAGGATTTATTGCCTGAGCTAAAATTTATTTCCTAATCTTCTGACAACTAAGAAAGAAGAAATTAAGTTTGCAGATGTGAGAGGAAATATAGCCAGTGAATATGCATACTGATTCTGAATGAGCAGAATTAACTTGTTTTTCAGTCAAGAAGCATAGTCTGCAAATAGCAAATTGAATTTCTCCTGCAACTAGAACCATTCGTTTAATTCTTCTTTGAACACTGCCCTTTCTCTATTAGGAACACTAATGATTTGCTATCTCTTTTAAAGAAGAAATCTGTTTTCTCGAGTAGTTAAGCTAAGAATTCTTCAAAATTTTTTTAAGTCCTAGAGAAGAATGTTGAAAGGGCGTGATTTAACAGTATTGTTCTTTTAAAATAACTTTTTTTTCTTGTTATACAAAATAAAGCATGTTTATTATATAAACTTTAGAAGTAAGAAAAAAGAAACTAAAAATCATCCATAATCCCAAATATCTACAGATAATAGTGTTAGAATATATTTTCTTTCAGGCTTTTTTCGATGCATGCACATGGATGTGAGCATATATTTATAATTTTATTATAAAAATGGCAAATTGCTGGCATATTGTTTTATCTGCTGTTTTCATATAAATGATTAATTTAAGTGAAAACCATTTAATTATAACATGCTTTAAATATATTTATGAGTAAAATGCTAAAATCAATACAAAGAAGGAATAGAATGACATTTTGGCTCATTCATTCATTTTTGTAAAATATATATAGCATATTGCCTGTTTTGTAGTAAGTACTCAAAAATGCTGAAAATTTATTATCCCTATCATCACTATAATTTATTCATTGAAAATTATTAAATTATTCATTGATCATTTATTAAGGATCTACTCTGACACTGTGCTATATAAGCTGGGAATGCTAAGAATATCAAATGAAGAGAATGGTGGAATTAGGCCTATGAAGGGAGAACTTCTTTTTTACTGCATGTATTTCTAAAGAATTACAATAGGTTAATTTTGATAATTTAAAAAATAAATGTAAAAAATATTAAGTGCATCCATGCACACATGTGTGAATGGCAGCCAGGATGAATGGAGTTGGGGAACATCACCCACAGAGTGACTATGCGGATAAGGCAGAGAATCAAGAGGGGAACAGGGTCCTTTGAGGCCAGAGCAGCATGTGCAAGAGCATAAAGGCATGAAAAATCTGGGACAGACTTGGAAAAAACTTCTTGTCCGTAGTGAGGGCTGTGTACCTCCCCAAGCTTCTTTATCTCTGGAGGTTGTTAAATATTCGAGAGGCTTTAAATAATAGGATTGTCTGACTGTTCTGTCTGGACTGCTTAGATATAACGCTACTTAAATGTTATATTGTTACATTGGAGAAGATTTCCATTTTTTGATTAAATGAGAATTTTGAACATGAAAATCTGTATTTAAGACTTCAGAAATTGCTTCTGAGCTTTAAGGGACGCTACATTCGTATTTAGAATTGACCTTTAGTAAGAGCCAGAATGACCATATTCAAACTGGCGATCTCCCAAATCCTGCCCACCCTTTCACCTCTGTCTGAATGCACTGATGTCCACTAACTCATTTCCTGTCTTTTGTGACCATAATGCTACTTATCAAAATTGCGTGTAAATTTCCTTGGCTTTTTTGTCTGGGCTTGTCTAGTAACAGATTTGTAAAGGAGTTCACCATTTTTGTAATTGGTGTATGGAATGCGTCAGATAATTCAGTTCATGATAAAGGGACTTTGAGGGAGGGGGGGTGGCAAAATGGCCATTCAAGAAAAGGTGGTGTGTGAGTGGCTGCCTGCGCTTGCCGAACCCACAAAGCCAAGACAACTGCAGGTGTACTTTCCTTAGTCTTTTCCTTCACAAACATTTACCCTTGTGTTTCCTGTGTCTCCTCCTGGAAGTCCCCTTCTTTTGGAAAGTTAGAAAGAGGTCTCTTGTCAAGGCTTTGACTCCTGGTAGTATGACTAGTGACCCAGAGGGCTGCTAGGAATACTTTCTGAGCACTCTTGGCTGTCATCAGATTGATCTGCCCAGATGACAGCGACTGGAAACTTGAAGCATGACCTACAAGGGTCGGTCATGTGCAAGAAGTGCCAGGAAAATAATCATGAAATTTTAAAGCTTGAAGTGTTTTTTTTTTTAAATCATCTAGCCAAATCTTCTCATTTGAAAGGTTTTTTTTAAGAACTAACAAACAACAAAAATTCAAAAAGGATGGGTAGCTTGTCCAAGGTCATCAGCAAGAGCTGAAGCCAGAACTCTGGTCTCCTGGTGTCAAGACACCAGCTTTTTCTCTTTGCCCTGATGAGGAAGCTGAGGTCAGGGGGAGGCTCGGGAACCGCTCAGCTTTCTGCTCTGCTTTGCTCTAAGTGAGAAGACAGAGGTTTTCTGATCTTCTTGGCTTTGTATCACTTATCTTCTATAACACGCAATCCCGCACTGTCCACCTTTTTTCCCATTGCCTATTTTATTGTAACCATTAAAGATTTTTTAAAAAGATGCAAAGATTTCAAAAAAGCAAGAAAGTCAAGCCTCTACCTGTTCCCAACCCCCTCTTCCCGCCAATGACTGATGCCAGTTTCTTCTGTGTCCTTCCAAAGGCGTTCTATGTGGACACAACCACTGATGTACCCTTTAATGTAATATTACTACATTAGAAATATGAGGAGATAAAATAAATAGAAATACAAATGGAAGTGTATCATCAATACTGTTCACTTAGCTGTTTTTATCATTTGGGATGGTATCTTCAATTTATTCCAAAAAGATCTAACTCTTAATAGCTGAGCAGAATTTCATTTGTACAGACAGATGTTACATTGTTCATTTAACCAGTTCCCTTCTCATAGGCTGTCATTGTTGTTCAGTCACTAAGTCATGTCTGACTATTTGCGACCCCATGACTGCAGCATGCCAAACTCCCCTGTCCTTCACTATCTCCCGGAGTTTGTTCAGATTCATGTCCCTTGAGTCAATGATGCTGTCTAACCATCTCATCCTCTGCTGCCCCCTTCTCCTTTTGCCTTCTCTCTTTCCCAACATCAGGGTCTTTTCCAAGGAGTCAGCTCTTTGCATCAGGTGGCCAAAGTATTGGAGCTTCAGCTTCAGTATCAGTCCTTCCAATGAATATTCAGGGTTGATTTCCTTTAGGATTGACAGGTTTGATCTCCTTGGATCCCAGGGACTTTCAAAGAGTCTTCTCCAGCACCACAGTTCAAAAACATCAATTCTTCAGTGCTCAGCCTTCTTTATGGTCCAGCTCTCACATCTATACATGACTACTGGAAAAGCCATAGCTTTGACTATATGGACCTTTGTCTACAAAGTGATGTCACAGCTTTTTTAAATGCTGTCTAGGTTTGTCATAGCTTTCCTTCCAAAAAGCAAGTGTCTTTTAATTTCATGGCTACAGTCAAAATCTGCAATGATTTTGGAGCCCCCCAAAATAAAATCTGTCTGTTTCTACTTTTTCCCCTTCTATTTGCCATGAAGTGATGGGACCAGATACTATGATCTTAGTTTTTTGAATGTTGAGTTTTAAGCCAGCTTTTTCACTCTCCTCTTTCACTATCATCAAGAGGCTCTTTTGTTCCTCTTCGCTTTCTGCCATTAGAGTGATATCACCTGCATATCTGAGATTGTTGATATTTCTCTGGGTAAGCTTGATTCCAGTTTGTGATTCATCCAGACTGGCATTTCACATGATATACTCTGCATATAAGTTAAATAAGCAAGGTGACAATATATAGCCTTGTCACATTCCTTTCCCAATTTTGAACCAGTCTGTTCCATGTCTAGTTCTAACTGTTGCTTCTTGACCCACATCAGATTTGACAGATAAGGTGGTCTGGTATTCCCATCTCTTTAAGAATTTTCCAGTTTGTTGTGATCCACACATTCAAAGGCTTCAGCCTAGTCAGTGAAGCAGGAATAGATGTTTTTCTGAAATTCCCTTGCTTCCTCTATAATCCAATGGATGTTGGCAGTTTGAACTCTAGTTCCTTTGCCTTTTCTAAATCTAGCCTATATATTTGGAAATTCTCAGTTCATAAACTGCTGAAGTCTAGCTTGAAGGATTTTGAGCATAACCTTACTAACATGAATGAGTGCAACTGTACAGTAGTTTGAGCATCCTTTGGCATTGCCCTTCTTTAGGGTTGGAATGAAAACTGACCTTTTTCAGTCCTTTGGCCACTGCTGAGTTTTCCAAATTTGCTGACATATTAAGTGCAGCACTTTAACAGCATCATCTTTTAAGATTTTAAATAGCTCAGCTGGAATTCCATCACCTCCAATTAGCTTTGTTCGTTGTAATACTCCCTAAGGCCCACTTGACTTCACACTCCAGGATGTCTGTCTCTAAGTGAGTG